CTCGTTTGTTGTATGTTATTGTCATCTACTGTACTCATATATATACTTTAGAGTGAAGGACCTATGCTTATTTAATGTAAAGTAAAGGAAATATATTTATCTATTTTATATGATAAGTTACGCACTGTGAAATAATTTGTATATGTTGCGTTACCTAATACTATGAATATATACAGTACTACGTTTGTATGAATTACTGTAGGTTATAGTAAGCGTTACAAAATACAGTACTATACGTTGTATGATTCGCTGTAGTAGGCGTTACATAGTTGCTCCCTCTCTCTCACCTCCTTATAATAAACACTATATCCACCTTCATAACAAACACAGTCTCTTCTAACAAATTCAGTCTCTTCCCCTCAAACAAACACAGTACTTTCCCCAAACAAACACACTCCCTCCCCCAGTAACGAACACTCTCCACCCCCACCTAACAAACACACTCCCCACAGTAACAAACACACACCCCCCAGCAACAAACACACGCACAGCAAAACACCCCAGCAACAGCAACAAACACCCCGCAACAAACACCCCCAGCAACAAACAGCCCCCAGCAACAAACACACCCCCAGCAACAAACACACCCCCCCCTGTAACAAACACAGCCCCGATCTTCTCCCCGTCATCTATTCCTTGAGAAGATTCATAACAGTTCGGATATTTTTAGTGTTCACTTATACGGACCACAACCTCTCACCTTTTAAAGATCAACAACTCAATAAAACTCTGACCTTTGACCTCCCGAAATCAGGGACGAAAGTCATAAATCACAGGTAAAAAAAAGGGGGAAATTGGTATAACCTGAAGATTAACCCCACAAGATTATTTCAAACCTAACCTAACCTAACCTAACCTAACCTAACCTAACCTTAACCTAATCTAACCTAACCTAACCTAACCTAACCTAACACCAAATCATATATATATTAACACAGTGACAAAAGTTTTAATTCCCTTTAAAGAAAAATGAAATACATAAGACTACTGTAGGTTATTGGTGCTGTTTATGTACTGTACTGTATTCTGGTGTAATTCACGTTGTAGCGTAAACTGTAATTAGTTAGTAAATGAAAAATTTAAAATCATGATTGTTAGACGTTGTAAAATACTTCATTATTTAGAGCCGATTTTATTCACTTTTTCACTGGAGTTATACACACAAGGAGGGTAGTAATACAGACAGACTGTGTGTGTGTGTGTGTGTGTGTGTAGCTATAGTGTCTGTTTCTGTCAACCAATCAAACACCACCAACTCATCTATCTATCAACCAATCACACACCACCAACTCATCTATCTATCAACCAATCACACACCACCAACTCATCTAACAACCAATCAAACACCACCAACTCATCTATCTATCAACCAATCAAACACCACCAACTCCTCTATCTAACAACCAATCACACACCACCAACTCATCTATCAACCAATCACACACCACCCACTTACATCAACCAATACACCACCAACTCATCACAACCAATCAAACACCAACAACTCATCTAACAACCAATCAAACACCACCAACTCATCTATCTATCAACCAATCACACACCACCAACTCATCTATCTATCAACCAATCACACACCACCAACTCATCTAACAACCAATCAAACACCACCAACTCATCTATCTATCAACCAATCAAACACCACCAACTCCTCTATCTAACAACCAATCACACACCACCAACTCATCTATCAACCAATCACACACCACCAACTTATCTATCAACCAATCAGATTACCGTATTCTCACAACGTATAAATCTCACCCAAAATGTCACCGAAACTGTATTATTTATTATATTTTTTTTATTGATGAAGAAATACTTAACCAGGTAATAACACAACGATAAGTACAGTCATTAAGAGGACACCTTAGGTTGCATGCTGTCATAACCTTGTCAATCCATTTTAGAACATTTCACAAGAACCCTTTGGGATATCTGTTAAGTAAACCGTTTATATCAGAATATGTCGGGGCGTCAGTTTTTGCCAGTGTGTAATAATTGTAGTGTGTGTGTGTGTGTGTGTGTGTGTGTGTGTGTGTGTGTGTGTGTGTGTGTGTGTGACCAGAAAAAATCATTGTTGATATTGTTTATGATAATAATAAGAATAATATTGCGAGAATTAAATATCGTATACCATCGAATCTCGGTGTATGTATGTATATATGTATGTATGTATGTATGTATGTATGTATGTATATCTCATTATCCTTAAGATATTTTACTCCTAATAACTATATAATTACATCACTATAAACCCGTCCAGCACGCTAATACAAAACATACATACATACATACATACATACATACATACATACATAGGGGCTCACAGGTGTTAGGGTGGCGTGGTCATTATTCTCACCTGTTTACACCTTCAGGTAAATATTTACTTTACCTGCCCGCTGTACTATGGTTTCCTTGTATCAATTTACTCACTCACATTAACGAAACTCTATTGCTCTCTATTTCATTTTATCTATCTATCTATATATCTATCTATTTAATTATCCATCTATCTATCTATCTATCTATCTATCTATCTATCTATACCGGCGCTCCTTCCCCATTTTCTATAGATTGTATCAAGGAATGGAAGGGACTCAGTGAAGGGAAGGGATTCAAACAAGGAAGGGAAGTGTAAATAATGAAACAAACAAAAGCGTAAATAACAACAAGTAGGAGACAGGACATATAACAGTCTCTCTCTCTGAGGATTCAATACTGTAATGACACCTGAGGGGTTCGGTTAGGGTAGGTTAGGTTAACTTTGGGTTGGTTAATATTAATGTTAAATAAGCTAGGAGGTTAATGTCCAGGTGATTCAGATGTTATATAGTTAATTAGCGTTATCTAACAGGTGTTGAAAATTGTATAATAAAATTTGACATATATTAAACCTGACTGTATAATCTATCAGTCAGGTTATATAAAGTACTATTGTATATTATTTCTAGTCACTTTTGAAAGTCAAATGTACAGGTAAATATGTTAATTATTGTCAGGTGTGTTAGAATTTAAATTGATATTGATGGTTAGTTATTCAGGTGTAAGACAGGTAACGTTGATGAAAATTTTAACTCAAGTATATCACAAGTCAAGTGTGTCAGTTATATTGCAAGTGTGTCTGTCATATTACGAGTGTGTCTTATCAAATACAATTGTGTCAGTTAAATTTATTTTCAATTGTAATATTTCAGTTACATAAATTATTACGGAATATTAGATACCATTGAGTCAAAACGGAAATGCTTATGGAATATTATTTTTTACTTACGTCTATTAACGGGAAAAAACGTCTAAAGCGTTATACATTATGTGTTACTTAAATTATAAGTCACTACATTATTTTGTTTGGAGAAAAGTGTGTAAAGTAATATAATGGTTTTAATATTACTTTTAAAATTGTAATAAATAACATGAGGTGTTACTTACAGTTGTGTCCTATGAAGTATAAGTAAATGGTGCTGGTTAAGTGCTTGTAAGTATAAGGAACTATTTAAGTATAAGTGATGATTGGGTGTTACAGGGTGGTTGGGGAGGTTAGGTTAGGTTAGGTTAGGGCGATAACAGAAAGAATTGCGCGATAATGTCTTTATTTCAAGTCTCAAAATATAGGTAAAAAAAATGTTAAGTGTGTCTTTAAAAATATTATTAGAGTGCTAAGTGTATTTTTTAATTAAGTGTTTAAGTAACTACTGTGTGATATGTGTTTGAAATATAAGTAAGGACGGACTGTGTGTGTGTGTGTTGGGTGATTGAAGTAAGAAAGAGATCACGAGTGTCTTGGAATATAAAATTAAATTGTTAAGTGTGTCTTCCAAATTTTATAAGTTGCTATGGCGTTGAGTGTGTACATTATTCCAATTTAAAAGTAACTACGGCGTTAAGTGTGGCCCCTAAATTTTATAAGTAGCTACCGTGTTAAGTGTATATTCCAATTCAAAAGTGACTAAAGGCGTTAAGTGTCTTCCAATTTTGTTTTTATAAGTAGCTCTGATGTTACGTGTGTCTTCGGAAATATAAGTTAGCAGAGAAGGATTAAATAAGGTTCAGTATATTAGTCAAAATAGAACCAGAGTATTTACGGCTTGTTGTGTGGAGCAGCGATACATCACCACTGTTTCCTGGATGGTAGTGTGTAAGATAAGAGGGGTGTGTGTTAGGTGGGTCAGTAGCCAAGCCCAGGTGTGTAGGAACAGTAAGCAACAGCTGTCCTTCTGCCCCTTACCACACCTCTGTTCCTCCCTCCCTCTCTCCCCGCCCATTCACAAAACAACACCAACACGATCAAAACAACACAACTGAAGATTTATGAAGCCTCACCGTAGGTATAGTTGTAGTGTGTGGGAGGGGAGGGGGAGACTACCTGGTGTTGGAGGTGAGGGGGGAGGATTTATTTACGTGGTGGCACTGTGTACGGTGGTCCTCCTCACGGGGTAGAGACGAACTGCTGTGGAATACGCGGGAAAACTTGTAGAAAATCCGGCGACCATCTGTAGAGCAAATGCACCACTTGTTCGAGCCCTGCCCCCCCTCCTCTCCCCTCCCCCCTGCCTCCCTCTATAGGAATCTTGGGGATAAGAAATAAAGCAAGGATGAAGGAGTGGGTGAGGTGAAGATGCCACCCAGTAGGAGGTGTGGAGGCACGCGGGCGGGGCTGCAGGAGGTGGTGCTGAGGGCGTGAGGTGACCGCGGCGCCTGTTGCCCCTGGAGGAGTCGGGATTTATGGTGCCGTAAAGTCGGGTGCGAGGCGTTGTTGGGGTCGGCGGTGCTGGGTGGTCCGCCTGGTGCTGGTGGTGGCAGCAGCCGCGGCTTCTGGTGCGACAGTGGCAGCGGCGGTGACGGTGTGATGGTCGCCGCCCGCTAAGAGCCTCGTTTGCATACCGCGGAGGGGGCGTGGCGGGGCGGCGCGGGGGGCGGGGCCAGGGGTGGGCGGCGACCGCTCATTGGTCGGCGCGGCGGTAATTAGCAGCGGGGTCGGAGCGGGGCCGCCGCCTCCAGTCCGCCGCAGATACTCGAAGCGGCTGCATGACAGTCCGCGCTCGGTCGTCGCTGAGGAACGTGCCGTGAACACTGTAGAGTAGACGTGGAGCGGCCAGTGTGGAGTACCGTGGGAGTAGCGCGAGCAGTGGTCGAGAGGGAGAGCAGGGCGGCAGCTGTGTGTTCAGTGCTGCCGGAGGAGCAGTGTAGTGTCGCGGGGCGCGCTTCCCCCCTTCCCCCCTGCGCCTCTCATTTCCATATGGGCGCCCCCCCCGCGGGGAGGTGGCGGTGGTGGGCCAGCCCGCGCATACTCGCCGCCACATTTACCTACTAATTCTCGCCGAGGCGTCATTACGATGTGCAGACGGTGGGTGGCGGCCGCGGAGGTCCCACGCTAGTGATACTTGTGCATGTGGAGTGGTGGTAGTGGCGGCTCAGTGTGGTGTTGTGGCACATGGTGCTAGTGACGCCCGCACCACGTGTAGCCTACCCTGTGGCACGGCCGGGCAAGGGGGCCAGGCCCTCGCTACCCATCACGACAACACGACCACCCGCAACCCTACCCAGCAGCAGCACCAAGAGGGGGGCGTGCAGCTCACGTGCCCAAGCCAGCGGCGGCACGAGCATGTGGCACACCCAGCCCAGGGACGATGTGGACCTCAGGTAAGACGCCGCTACGACTCTACATCTTAGACACTTGTCTCCCTGAGCACTTGTCAAGGTGCAGTGTCTCGCCTCTGTTACCTGGGTGTTATGTGGCGGAACAAGTCACAAGTGCTAGGCTGGGCGGCGGTGTGTGTGTGTAGTAACACCAGCCAGCCCGCACTTAACTATACCAACTTGTCACTTAAAACACAATTTTGTGACTTAGAAAAATTATCATGACTCAGTGTGTGAGACATTTCTAGACTTTGTCAATTTTTCGTAGCGGAGATAAATATATTTTTCAACACAAACGTCAATGGTTAGTTATATTTATGTTGAAAAAAGTTGTGGAAATCGAGAGAATTTTATTGGCAGAAGATCAAAAATTTTAACTTGTTAATTTATGGACGTGTTGGTGTTGATGATCACCGACTTACAGTACTCGACTTATAAAACTAACAGTCTTGGTTGTGAAAAAAGTGAGACTAAATGAATATATTATATTGTCAAGTTAGTTCCCAGCCGCGACGTGCACCAGTGGACGGACACCAGATCAGGTTTACTCTAAAAAAATTATCCAAGTCAAAAAAAATATCGTAAGAATAAGAAGAGTCAAGAGGAAGCCTGAACTCTATTATAATTAAGAATATAACACAACAAAACTCTTTGGCGGTAAGGAACAACACAATAGATCACCATCTATCAGGGTTGACCTCACAACACCGGAAACTTGTGGTAGGCGAATTGGACTTGGTAGAGACGGTGGGCCGGAACAAGTCCGAGCGATCACCCTCGCTAAGCCGCCGCCTCACCTCCCTCCAAACATTACCTCACCCTCTCTGGTGACTTGTTGGCTGAGTCTTAGGTCAGATGGGCGTGTGAAGGGAGCCAGTGTGGGCGTGTAAGTCGATGGACTTAGGTCGTGTGGTGGTGGTGTTCAAGTTAGCGAGAGATGGGTGAGTGCGCGCGGGTGGTGGTAATTAGCTAATGGAAGGAAACTTACTGCAGACTACAAAATGAGAATTTCCCTGGCCATTTCATTTTATGTAATGGAAAAGTTGTCGAGGAAAAACATGCATTTATTTCATTAGGTGATTTTTTTTTCGACAGTGTTTTTTCTACCCCGAGCGGCGGAAACCAAACTTGTTATTTATCTAAGACTCTCACAGTACAACCTGGAGTTAATAAACCACTGACTAAAAGTTTGTTTACACACCTGAAAAACACACAAACACGTATTTCTTTTAATTGTGATTATTGTAACGAATTTGATCTCAAAACTAGAAGAAAAAAATATTTGCTAAAAAAATGAAACCAAGTTTATTATTTTGACTGGGTAGCGGCGGTAAAGTGACGACCAACGTATATATAATTGAAGAAAATAAATGCGGTAGTTTTAGGCAGATCACCTCGGGGATAGAATGTCTCTTGGTGTAGGGCAAGAGAGGTTGTGTGTTGGGGAGAGAGAGGGAGACAATGTGTGTTTGTGGAGGTGAATAGGATGTGTTTTATTGTACGGAGACCACGGAGACTAGGATTGTGTGGAGACGGGATAGGAGACGTGTAAAGTACAAAAGAGGAGATGGAGGAGGATTGTGTGGAGACATGAGATGATTTTTATAAGTAAGAGGAACATTATGTGGAGGTGAACAAACGTGTGGTGTACAAAAGAGGGAGGGGGAGGAGGGGGGATTGTGTGGAGGAAGAAGTGAGGTGTACAAAGCAGGGGGAGGAGGAGGAGGAGGAGAATTGTTTGGAGGTGGTGGTGTTGTGCCAAGCTGTCTGACCCTGTACAAACACTCAACACTCACGTATCCCCCACACCTGTCTGTCTACCTATACCTACACGACCCAGGTTTGCCAAAAAATATATACATGTAATTTTTTTTTGCGACAGACACTCATACTTATCGAATCAAATATAACATGAACGGAGGATAGAATTGCACTCATTTTTTCAACAATCATAAATAATTTTTCAAAGTTATTGTATTAAAACTCAGTGTTAATAATGATAAATAAATATGTATAAGTATTTACCATCATTTAATTGAGATACAAACCGAAGATTAGTTTTCTCGAAATAGTGAATGTCGGATATATTTTTTTAACAGTGTTGTGTTGGTGAAAGAATCCTGATATATATAACACCATGATGGACTCAGGCGCTGTGTATAGAACAATGTGACAGGATATGTGACATGATATTGACTTATGCTTGTGACAAATGAGGAATTTTTTTTATGTTAGTTATCACATAAACCGTATTGGTCAGTGTTTACGTGTTGCAGAGTAGATGTTTAGGTGGTAATTATTGACGACTTCACCGCCAGTTTAGGTGTGTGTGTGTATCTCAGTGACAGTAGTGGTGTTAATATATGTATACAAGTTGTGATGATGGTCATATAAATACACTGTCTTTGATAATGGTGTTGCTAACTTGGCATACGTACAGTCCGTGGTAGTGGTGTTGGCATATTGTACCGTCCGTGATAAATGGTGTTGGCATATTGTACCGTCCGTGATAATAGTGCTGGCATATTGTAACGTCCGTGATAATAGTGCTGGCATATTGTACCGTCCGTGATAAATGGTGTTGGCCTATGAACCGTCCGTGATAATAGTGAGATGTTAGTTAGCTAAGTAGTAGGTTGGTGGCGTCTGGTGGTGCCGTGGTCAATGTAAAAGTAGTATTTTATGACGGTACTCAGCAGTGTTACGGTGGGGGAAGTACTGTAACTGTACTCAAGATCAAGTACTCAAGATCAAGTACCCCGCTCGAACTCACCCCGGTCAAGTTACGTCAAGATTATCATGTTACTCTTGGGTCTTCATGAAAAAAAAAATGAAATCACAGAAAGAAAATAAATCTGGGGAAAAAAAAATTCTTGCGTTAGGGAAATTCTTGACACTCACGACTATCTCCCTAACTAGTGTTTTCTGTATATTTGTGTTAATGATCGAGATAGTATAAATAGTATATATTTGTATTAATCTTTGTATATAATGAGGGTTATATATTGTTTCGAATTGTATATCTATAGTCAGAAATACGTGTATCTTCGTCAACTAAATTTCAAATATTCAAACTCTTTATTTTTTATTAAGAATTTATCACGAAGAAGAGAGAAGATAAGAGGCGACATTTGTGATTTATTATTATTATTAATTGTTTTTATTAGTTTTGAGTTTATTTTGATTTCGTCTTCAGTCCATTTCGTTTTTAAGTGAGAAATGAAGTAAAAATGATTGATAAATGAATGAGTAAGTATGTATGTGTGTATTGTGGTAGTGTGGTACAAGATGATCGTCTCGTGGTTTAGTACTGTATGTTGAAGCCACTGCACGACAGGACCCATGCACGTTCACTCATCCTGAAGTAAAAATTAGTGATGGTGTTGAAGTTAGTCTCAGGTGGTGAAGTAACGTTTGCCTCAGGTGATGAAACGTTTGCCTCCTTATGTGAAGAAAGTGTGTAACATGGACAGATGAACTTGAGTGTGAAAGATAACCATCACTCTCTCTCTCTCTCTCTCTCTCTCTCTTTCTGGGTATCGTAAAGACGTGAGAGAATTATCGTGAGAAACTTGTACTCTATTTCTCCCTCCATCTTCAGAATTATTGTGTTCTTGATGTTCTTGTACCCGAGTTATGGACCCTCCCCCCTCCCCTAGTCTTTGTGGTTGGTATAGGTTGGTGGTGGACTGAGATAACTTCGTGGTACTGATAAACTTTTCCAGATTGTCTTTTAAACTAGATAGGAATGAATTGGAGTCACGATTGCAGTTGATTTAAGAATGTGGATATTTTCATGTCTTGTGTGGATGTGAATGATGTCTTATATGGATTTGATTTATGTCTTAAGTGGATATTTCTTGTCAGAGTGGATAGATCATGGCTTAGGTGGGTATAAACTATGTCTCAGGTGGATTTAATTGATGTAGAGTGGAGTCATTGTGTTTAGTTGATTTTAATACGTGGGTGGATAATCTTTGCTTATCGTTAGCGGTACATAAGACATTATATTATATACCTGTATACGTGATGTGGGGTTGAGATGTGTTCAGGAGGAAAGTGGTCCATAGTGATGTGTAGTTCTTGAGGAGATGATGTGTTACAGTAGGTGATGACTTGTGGCTACTGGCGGGAGAGAGTGTACTTGATGTTAATTACTCTGTTGTGGTGAGAGAGTGTCACTGTCTGCTGGGTGAGAAAGTGTCACTGTCTCTGATGTATTTATATGACTCTAATACACTCTTATCATGACACTTATTACGTGTTAAAGATTTCCATAAGTTACCTGAAGTGAGAGTCTTATAGTTCTCTCTGTCATCCGGCAGCTAAGTCATCCATCCGTTCATCCGTCGAGAAGGAGGAGGATGAAGAGAGGTAATGGGGTTCATCTTAGCAGCGGGAGGTTCATTGTTCGCGGACAAACACACTAAGAAAAGCTTGCCTTAGTCCTCCCCCCACCCCCCCCCCCACTCCCCTGGTGAATACACTTATAATTCTCCTTAAAAGAGTAAAAAAATAATACACACACGCACACACACACACACACACACACACACACACACACACACACACGCTGTCAGTAGCCAGCTTGACATATGACGCCCGCTTGACAGTGCCACCACTACTGTTACTGTGGCTAAAGTAACGACGGTCTTTTTTATTCATGAGAAAAAAGTTAGAAAAATAGAAGTACTCTGTCATGGTCCAGTAAGAGTGACGTATTTGACACATGACACTGGACTGGCACCCCTCGACACTGCCATGACTTAGTTCCTCTGCTACTCTATGAACTTTTGAATACATAATTTATTTTTTTGTCCTTATAAATATAGTCTTCCAAGAGCCAGCCAGTGCCACGCTTGACATGTGACACACGCTTGACACTGCCACTGTTAATCTTGGTACTCCAGTAACGACGGAGCTTTTGACACACGACAAGACTTTTTTCTCAGACGAGGGAAGAAGTCTCCGGCCTTAAAAACCTGCCAGGAATTGAGATGGTC